TTATCTGTATTTCGGTTTTTCCCTACGCGCGCACATATCAGACGCAGCTTGGTCGATCACGGGGATCTGCACTCGGCGGCCAAGAAGTCATCCCATAGCTCAAACCTGTATCTAGCTTCTCTGAAGAACACTATGTGCAAATTCTATTGACATGATTTAGGGTGGGACAGATGCTAGAGCACTGTAAACAATGTTTCATAATAACACCGACATTTTAAGATAAAAAAAAACCCCAAATGAACGCTTTTATTATTTTTAACTGATTTCACACCAGAAGAGCAGAATAAATCAGTCCTAGTTTTAACCAATTGATATTCACCTGTTAATTTTCCCAGTGATTCGCTAATTAGTCATATCGAATGTTGTCGAGAATGTTGTTACATTTTCAACATGCTTTTTCATGAAGGCCCAAATATTTTAGGTGGGATTGAGATCAGGAGAATTTCCTGGACACCTGCCAAATACATCCTTTCGGAGATTTCACAATCAGTGCGCGACTCTATACATGAAACTGTTTCTTCACTCTACATAATAAGTTTGAACGAAGTTCTTATGGTGTGCCCAACTGGCATAAAACAACAATAACACATATAAAGGACATCTATGTAATTGTCAGTAACGTTATAATGCAGTTAGAGTAGTGTACAGTATTTTTTCAAAACAAAATAAATCGGTTTTTCATTATCGACGCAATTAAGACAAAATCTGCAAGTATAATCGAGGGTTAGGGGAATTTTACGTTAGTGTTATGTGAAAACGTACGTATATATATATATATATATATATATATATATATATATATATATATATATATTTTTTTTTTAATTATTTTTCTAAAAAAAATTATAACATAAGTATGTTATAAAATCACTACAAAAATAGCCATTTTGTTTCAACACACTCTGTGTCTTATCAAGTGATGATGTTGAAAATAAAATAAATGGTTTTAAAAGTTTCAGATTAATTAACGATCCTACACTAGGGGAAACATTGTTACAAAAGCTAGAATAACCAATCAAAAACGAAGTATAGAAAGATTCAAAAGCTTGACAACGAAATCCTGCTATAATAGCTATTCAGATCTTTAAATACGTGTAATATTAAAAATAATTTATACTAACTAATAATTATAAAATTATATGATAAAATTTAATATTAAAATTAAAAACTGGCATTTTAAAATTATATACTTTGGTATATATATATATATATATATATATATATATATATATATATGTGTGTGTGTGTGTGTGTATTTAGGCAGCATCTTTTCATTCATACGCGTTTCATTAAATAATATCGACAAGTGTTGTCTATACATATATATATATATATATATATATATATATATATATATATATATATAGGGAGAGAGAGAAAAGAGAGAGAGACAGATATAGAAACAACCTACGAGAAAAAGAAAAGGCAAACAGAAAAAATGAAGATCAAAATGAATAAAAATGATGAGGAATAAAAGGTAGGTAAATATTATACTGTAAAAAAGCAAAAAGAAATAGACTACAGGTTTAAAGTACAGTGGAAAAATATTTTATCTATCTATCTATCTATCTATCTATCTATCTATCTATCTATATATATATATATATATATATATATATATACGCAAGCATATATACGTCCTACCGGATTTATTAGTCTTTGAGTTTTTATTGCATCGCTTGAAATAATTTTATATTTCATCTCTCGACCAAAAAGAAAAAAAAATCATATTCTAAAAGATGCAATCATTTAGCCGAAAAGGAAAGAGAACAGAAAAAAAGTAATGGATTAGTTTTTTTTTTATATATATATATATATATATATATATATATATATATATATATATATATATATATAAAGCGGGTATTTGTGCGTAAATATCCACATTTCATCACTTTTTTATTCGCTGTGGTATTACAAATGGTTTGGGCCAGAAAAGAGAAAGCTCGAAGAGAATATAGAAATTCTATATTTTATCGTTACTGGTGTTTGCGCAAATGATAGAATTGATTGCCCCGGTTGCGCCGGGAATAGGTTTTGGCCGTGAGATCGGTGGCAATAACGGTTTGCCTATGAGAGCTTTTATGGTTAATATCAACATCCTTAGTGCCAAGGTGCCTGACGTTAATCGATTTTCGGCCGTGGAGAAAGGCAAGTATCTTGTACAAAGATGAAATTTAAGCCCACCAAAAGTAAAAATATATATATATATATATATATATATATATATATATATATATATATATATATATATATATATATATACCATTTCAGGATGAATGTGAGGATATCCCAACTGGTCGCAAAATGTTGGTGAAAATTCTGCTTTTTACTTAACGATGTTTCTCAAGCTAATGTGCGTGCAGCGTAACGGTTGAATCGGCGAGACGAGTTCAAATTCCAGTCTAGTATAGATGCGTTCGTTTCGCACTTCTTTTTCCATATGGTATGTACCATCAGTACCTGGCTCTTCACGACTTCCTGTCTTTTGTAACTCTTAGTAAAGCTTGTCTTTTTACCAGCCTGATTTGCCAATCATTTACAAAGGTTCGTTAGGTAGGTTATTCGCTGCTTTCCTCTGTCCTTCTTGCCTTCAAGATGTCTTTTGAGTGTCGAATATTCTGTATAAAGGATGTACAATTAAGATGAAATATATATATATATATATATATATATATATATATATATATATATATATACTAGTCACAATGTCCTGTGTGTGTAAAATTGTCCAAGTCATCTCTCCTCATTATGTTCCTGAGAAATTTCAACTCTTTTTGATGTTATGTGTGTATATCCTTTTGTTTTCATTTTCCTTAAAACCTCGTCGTTATTCATATGTTCCGCTTATGGTATTCCCAGCATCCTATTTTAAAACAATATTTCTTTTGCCTGACGTCTCATCATCTGTGCAGAAATTTTTCATCATTCACTACCATATAGGATGAACGATATTACATAACAATTTAGCGGACTTTATTTTGTTTTTAATGAAATTTTCCTGTTTCTTAATACTTTGCTTAGTTTTGAAAGGCTTATTTTACTGTTTCCATGCTTCTTCGGATTTTGGTGTCACATTTTTCGTTCTCTGTTAAAACAATATTTAGATACTTAAATTTTCGTACTTGCATGAATCTATTGCTTTGGGAATTATTTGGAGATTCATCTCCAGCTGTGCTGGGTAAACTCTCTGCCTCCAGACAGAGAGGATCCCCAGACGAGGCTTATGTCGAAGGGCAGAGTCTCGTCTCGGGAAACAGCTACCAGACCCCGTTTTATACGGTGCATTTTTGGCCGAGCGTACGGGCTCGGATACCCCACATTGAATTCGGCATTGTGCCACATCTGACCGCGTGGAGCGGTTGGTAGATATCCTTGCATGAATTTCTTCTCTACCATCCCAAAGTTGACTGGACCCTCTAGTCGAAGGAGGCAAGCTCTCTAAAAGAAGGAATTAAATTACAAACCGTTGAGAAGGTAATAGGAAACCACTTCACTAAATTTTTCATGAGGCTCCAGAGGCGGATATGCAATATGGTTGGCCCTGCCCTGGCGTCACGTCTACAGTCACTTTCTCACAGACGCGCCGTCGCTTCCCTCTGTCTGTTCTACAAATACTTTCATGGAAATTGCTCCGAGGAGCTGCATTCGCTGGTTCCCAGACGTCATGAGTTCCAGCGCCCTACGAGGCTGGCATCCCGCTATCACCCCCTCACTGTCGAAACTCCTAAATGTAGCCGTCTCTTCTACTCTAATAGCTTCATGTCTCGCACCTCTCGCCTGTGGAACTCCCTTCCCTTCTCCTGTTTCCCTGCGAGCTATAATCTCCAGCTATTCAAGTGTAATGTCAATCGACAACTCCAGTTGCCTTGATCTATCCACTACCCTCATCCTTTCTTCTATCACACCTATCTGATCTTGCTATTTCTGTAACCCCTTGCATCCTAGTGGCTTCCCTCCTTGCTTGGGGTGAAACGCTTAAAAAAAAAAAAGGTCATAGCAATTCACAAAGATTAAAATGAGAGGAATCTATGTAAATCCACGATCTCCGATGTTGAAGAGGTTACCAGAAAAAATATTAAGCTTGGCTGAATCTAGTACAAGGCTAGGTTAACCAGTGAAAACTGAACTTAGCTATTGTCTTTTGACTAATTCGGTAAGTCACCGTTCCACAAAAGGTTAAACATATACAGCTCAATGGAGTCAAGAATAAAAATAGAATACTCTATGAACATGGACTGCAATATAGTATAAATAGTTTGCAAGCTTGTTAACCATTACATCAGAATTATACTGACAGGTAGACCTGTTGGCCCATTATGTTTTATCGATTGAAAATAGTCAGTGTGACGCATACTGTAATAACTGTTTGTATATCAATTTTGAGCGATGTAGTATTTACCGGTGTACAAGATGTTGCTTACTGTTGTTCACGGTCTAGAGCAGAGCACTGGTATTTACATAGCGAAATGATTTTCGTTAAGGCTGACAATGAATCTCATGGGGGTTGTATTGGCCACCTGGTGGTGCAAATCAGTTCAATGCCCGAGAAAATTAAGGCTTCGAAGTTTAAATTGCATTGAGGGATTCTGAATATCTATTGGACACGTAGAGTTGCAAGAAAATTGAATACAACCCGAAGAGTGGAAGGAAGCAGCCGAAGACTTGCTAAAATAATCAGGACAACGCAAATAACGAAAACTTCTTTCGGTGGTTGAAAGCACGGTTTGGGACCAGGTAGGACAAATGCAGTAAAAGAAAGCACGAAGCTAAAGAGAAATAAATTGTCTCAGGTTTAGTATAGCCGCGAGTAAACTGAAGCTGGGCAATCGGATAATGTAGGAAGACGGTAAAAGAAGGCTAAAACTTTCCCCAACATAAACTGAATTGTAGCAGGAGAACAATTCACAATTATGCATACTAGCAGTGCCGGTTATCTTATTTGAATTTTCTGATGTATCATAATTCTTAATTTAATGATTGAATAAACTCATTGCAAGTTCCACGACTATAAAATACCCGTGGGATTTCTGCCTTTTCTTTCTTTCTTTCTTTCTTTCTTTCTTTCTTTCTTTCTTTCTTTCTTTCTTTCTTTTTCTTGGTTTCTTTTCTTCTTTATTTCCTACTTTCTTTCTTTTCTTTCTTTCTTGCTTTCTTTTCTTCTTTATTTCTTGCTTTCTTTTCTATTTCTTTTTTGCTTTCTTTTCTTTTTTTCTTTTTCTTTCTTTCTTTCCTTTTCTTTCTTTTCTTTTTCCTTTCTTGTTTTCTTTTCTTTTTTATTTCTTTTTCTTCTTTACTTTATTTTTTCTTTTCTTTTCTCTTTCTTTCATTTGTCTTTCTTTCATTTCTCTTCTTTCTTTTTTATCTTTTTTCTACAGGACAATATCGTAGTGGATTAAAGTGTTGGTGAATTTGATGACTTAGTGAATATGAGTTCCTGGGCCGGGCAGTGTGTATTGCTCCGGGCAGTGTTTAGTGAAAACGGTTCGAGCAATAACTGAACAGTACTAAAAATAAGAACTAGACATTATCCCTAGACATGGACAGTAAACGAAAACAGTTTACTCTCGTAGATTAAATAATTCAGAATTCCCTGTAGGTTGCCCAGAACGATAAAACCTGAGGAAGTCTGGAAGTTACACTAGCTTAAACGGTGTGATAAAAACACAGATGAGGATAATAGTCACAATATGAACAGTCTAAAAATGATATAAAAAGGCCTTCGCGTTATATTCGTCGAGTAATTGTTACAGTTATGCCCACTTAGAAAACTTCCCAAACGTAAGTTTAAAATCCCCCAACTCCGTATTAAAAAAATCCTTTCCTGCGACAATTTCACAAATCAGACTGAACTTTAAACCAGCTAGTCATTCTCAAATAACATTTCAAAAAAGCATATTTTATTTTTGAAAGATGTGCCAATATGGACGATTTTAGCGGTTTTTACTGATTACAAAACAAAACACACTCCGATCAATTTAAATTCAGTTTGCAACGCAGTAAAGTATATTGTTTATTGGAAATATTAAATATCTTGACATTAAAATTAAAATATATGCTACAAGAAAGATTTTAAATTTAAGAAAAATGCATGTTAAACCTTAGTTATTACTTTTTTTATTTATATATATATATATATATATATATATATATATATATATATATATATATAATTAATAAGTTTTTGAACCCCTAGACATGGTCATTGTTATTGTTTGGTTTATTTTGTTTTACGACATATCAACTTCAATTTAATGCAAAACAAGATTTTTAGGATAGATTCGTATGAAACGAAAATGTATTCTTTGTAAGAGATCAGTTTGTAGATCAGGTTTCATTGACATATTTTGTAAAGAGGGTTTTTGTCAAAACTCAAATATATTACGAGTAATATTTTTTTAAACATGTATTGCTGGTATTGTTTTTTCTTCAAATGTATTGCTGGTAATATTTTTTTCAAAAATGTATTGTTAATATTTTTACTATAAAAATTTATTTTTATACTTTCATAATATTTTGACCCCAGTTTAGGGGTTAACTATTTACCCATAGTTAGGACATTAACCGGTGCTACCACCGCGGGTCAGGGTCGACCTGAGGACAACAGCAATTAACAGGTGGTTCCACGCTCCTCAAAACCTCCCAATTTGAAAAGATTTTTCAAATAATGAACACAAAAAAGATGTATTTTAATTATTTATTTAAAAAGGGATTTATTTCGCTAAAAGTGAAAATTTTACAATTTTCAATATCATAACTTGGTATTTAGATGCACATTTTATAGGCTTATTTTAAAAATTTTTTCGCAATGACCATGCCTGGGTATTCACAAACCTCTAAACGGCTCTACATACATACATACATACATACACACATATATATATATATATATATATATATATATACAGAGAGAGAGAGAGAGAGAGAGAGAGAGAGAGAGAGAGAGAGAGAGAGGGGGGGGAGAAAGAGAGCGAAAAGAGATCAATAACATATAAAATGAATATATACAGAAAAATAATTTTTAATATTTTTCATGGAAATATTATTCCGTTTATTATCAACTGATTAAAAAATCGAAACGTGAAAAACGAAATTAAAAATAAAATAAAGAATTAACACAGATGAAACAAAGAAAAGAAAAAGAAAAACAAAAGCGATTGTTTTTCTTTCTTTATTCCAGCGCTGACGGAATATCATTTAAAAGAGAATTTAATTATAAAGAAAAAAATATTGAAATTTCAGTCAATAGGAATGATAAAAATATATTAAAGCTCAATAAAAAAATACGCTTATGTCTCATCTGTCTACGTATTCTCCAGTTCTGGATTAGAACTTTTTCTTTAGCTTAATGGAATTTCTGAGAATGTCTACTTGAGCGTAAGATGCCAGTCTAATTTGTGCCTTTGAAAATGAATTTCTGACCTCTGAAACTTTAGTATTTTCGCTACCCTTTGAACGAAGCCTGCAATTGCTGATTAAAGGGTTTGTTTTTAATTAAAAAAAATCTTCGCATTAAGCATTCGAGAATTACGAACAAGTTTTCAAAAGGGATCGCTAGGGTAAGATTTCTTGGCCCTTTTCACCTTCTAAAGTAAGAAAGGATTTGAAAGAGAACCATCGAAGACGATGCTGGAACTCTTTCAATCCCTTCCTACTTCAAAGATTCCTCCTCACATAAGACGGTTCAAGGAGGACGAACAAATAATTGGATATGAGGAAAAGAATTGCCAAAAATTCACCGAGAACTAATTAATAAGAATGATAAAACATCAAATAATGTCAATAACAATTTTTAAAAAAGGAGATACTGTAGCAGGAAAAGGCCAAGTTATTTTTAATAGCGATGCCGGTTAATTATTTTTTTAATAACTCCTGGGAATGTTTAGAATTATTTTCTAGATTTGATGACCTTCGCATTAAATGTTCTATCTTCTCTTTTCTTTTTCACTCGTATTGGTTGAATGACAGTCATTCATTAATGAGATTGTGCTCAATACAAAAGCCGTCAACATTTTCATTGAACCAATCATGGAAAAGAGAAAGAACTTTTACATTTTATCACCATGGTTGCTCAAAAAAAGAAATAAAAAAAAAATGTGAAAAGATCTGAGAAATAGCTAAAAGAAGCTATTCCCATTTTTGTGGACTTTTGGATGATGAATGCTTTAATGACGGAGTATTTGAGCTTTATTCAGAGAAAGACACCCCTCCAAACAGGAGAAAGAGAGATGAAACAAATGACCTCACTCTTTCATCTAACACACGCATGCGCACACAATACATTGAATATGATTCATATAGAATTATAGTTCACAAGGTTCGAGATTTAATTTTGACCGTTAGAAGAATTAAAACTCCATTCTACGAATTCACCTCAATGAAGTAAAATTTGAATTCCAGACTAGTGCAATCGACGTCTTGTTAATCGGCCAGAGAAAGTTGTGACACTCACATCTGCACATACAAGCAACATCTAAGCAAAACGATTCAATGCTTCATACTCTGGTAGTCTCACATTAATTAGCACAGAACGTTGAACATCCTCTTTGTCGTCCACGCATCTGAAAATTCGTTTCCGGTACGTCATTTATAGAGTTTATTACTGCAAACTTCTCCTTTGAAGTAAAGATTTCATACCATTCTCTTCATCGGGTACTCGTAGATAGAAACGGCACATAGATATATTCGGAGCTTTAAAGAAACTATATTTATCGGAAAGATATGGAAGAAAGAGTTGAATGTAATCATGAATAATATTCCAGGTAATAATCATAGTTCTATTACATAACGTGAATATCAGTGTGCCCGGTACGTACGTTACCATCAAATAACCGATAGATATGTTCACTTCAGGAAAAGTTCACTGTAAAAGGATAAAAATCAAAACAATTTTAATGGGTTCTAATTTTATTGATTAATATCTCTAAAACATTCGGCTAAGTTTATCTTTTGTCTTTTGTCATATTGTCCTTTTATAGATATACTCTATCTGAAAATTGTTACACGCACACACACACACACATATACATATATATATTAAAATTATTAAATCTAATGAATTTATACGGTGAAGTAATGGTAGACTTTTCTCGTGGTTAACCTTCTGGATTGATGGTAGCGAAACTATGCAAACGAATAAAAGAACATTAAGGAAAGGTCACAAATTGCAGATGTTTGGCCTTACTAAATACTAATTAAGTATCGAATACTTTTCTAGATATATTTGGATGAAACTTGAAATATATTTCCATATTTATCACAGCATAACAACCGAAATACCTTTCCATTGCAAAAAAACAATTTGTTATTTGGATCTAAAACCAAAACATCTATGGACTTCTGGCTGTTGTGTAGAGGTTAAAAATGTAATTTCGCAACAGAGTAAAGACGAGCCTCATTGAGTGTTTACGTATCAAGCTAAGAAAAGGTGTTCAATCTTTTGCTGTAAAGTGATGAAAAGAAACTATTACTACTGCAATGAATTCGATTCTCACTGATGACCCAGAATATATAGATTGCATCTGGCCGTGGAGGTATTGTCAGAAATTTGTCGTGTAAACCATTACTACAATATATTCATTCATCACATAGCACATTACACGCATCACACTAAGCTATGTTCTGAAAATAAAAGGAACAAAGAACATTTGTTAAAATATCTTTAAGATTTAACAAAACCTATACTAAACACAACATAAGCATAACACAAAGTGACCCTATATGTTTATTGGCTACGCAACTTAAAAATTAAAAATACGACTGAAGATTATATCTTTGTCATCACCTTTATTCTACTATTTGAGTCAAACTAGAGAGGTCAAGAGATGGCTGAAGAGAAAATAACAAGCATGTAAATTGTTTAAAAGTAATGCTCTAAGAAGCAATATATATATATATATATATATATATATATATATATATATATATATATTTATGTATAATATATATATATTTATACTTGAATCCTCGCGATGAAAAAAAATGAGTTTTTGTATTAACGAATCTTTAAAAAGTTGCTTTCCAAAAGCTAAGAAAAATATTAAAAATAATTAGAAACATAGAAAAGAGTACTGGACTCTTACCTAATATCGGTTCTTTTGTATTGCAGTGAATACTGGAGAATTTCACAGATGAAGAAGAGACATGAAGCAGAAGAAATATGGTTCTATAGAAGGATGTTGAGAATACCATGGACCGAACATGAGACCAATGACGAAATTTTAGAGAAAATGGAACAAAAAAAGGACACTTCTACATCAGAGACAGTTGAAATTTCTATATCATATAATGAGGAAAGAGGACATGGTAATTTTGGTACTCCCAGGCAGAGAAAAAAAAACGTACAACCTACGTAGTGAGCTTGAGTAAATTGTTGGTAGAGTCAGTTTTAG